AAAAAAAATTACAATGGCATCCATAGGCTGGACAAAAACTTATTAATTATTTATTTGAATTATTTGAAAAAAATGTAAGTTTTTAATTATTTAAAATGTATCCATGAAGTTTTTAACACAATATTTTATAATTAAGGATCTTCAAAACCACAATCTGATTAGCAGATCTTCAAATGTAAAATAACCAATATTTATTTTGATAAATAGTTTAAACGCATTTTATTTTTTAATAAGATTTGAGCATTTATAATAGTCAAGTGTTGAGTATTTAAAATTTCAAAAATTGGGTTGTCAATGATACATACATGTATGTATTATCCATCTGCTTTATTTTTTAATGGCAAGATAGTCTTTCCCTTCCAAAAATCAGATCTTATGTAAGTGAACACATTGCAGACAGTTATTTACACAGTGACAAGTGGTTTGATTTCCTTATGAACAACATAAAATTTGTATTTATTACCAAAAAGCCCCCATATAACTGCAACATTTTCAATTATTACGTTAAAAGGTATAGTACAAAGTGCTCCTATAATGCATAATGTAAATTTTAAAACACCAAAACGATATAATGAAAAAGATTTCACTACACCAAATATGTACATATATATATTGACACCGGCTATAAATGCACAAACAAAATCCATGATTGCTGGACATGGAATCGGAAAGTATCTAGCTAAAACTAAATTAGAAGTAGACAGTGGCAATGTTACCCATGAATAACATGATAAAGCTAACCACATTTTTGTTTTYGAAGGAATGGCCGCTGAATGGACTACTAATAGAATACCTTGAAGCCAACGTTTACGTTGTTGGATGAAATCCCAAAGTGAAAATGGTGATTTTTCCCACATTTCTCCTTCCACAAAATTGAATGTATAGCCTTCTTTAGCAGCTCGCATGGCAAAAAAACAATCTTCTGCGATTGATCCATCTAAGCCATTATCAAATGAAATATGACGCTCTGCACCCAACTAAAATTTTAAATAATTTTGTAATTGTTGTTTAAAAGTTAAGAGATTTAAATTCAGTATCAAACTCAATTGATAAAATAAATAAATTCATACAAATAAACTATAGAAATTTATTTATTCAAGTAAATGTATTGAAAATCATATAATTACTTGGGTGACAACATATGATCCTTTCCAACTAAGAAGTGGCTTATGGAACATTGAAAGCTGAATTCGAAGTTTACCCATATCATCAGCTACTCTGAAACTATCTGCTAAGGTTGTGAACCAATTTACTACTTCTTCATTAGCATAAGTAATTAGACCCTGGCCAAACTGATGTTTACCATCCAAGACAAAATTTAATACACCTCTAATTGAATTTTCAGTCAATAGGGTTTCTTCGTCTAAATGTACAATCCAATCACAATCTGCCAAAATATTTATATTGTCTTCTAAACAAAATTGAAGAGCTCGCGACTTAAAAAGTGCACCAGTCTTTGTCTTATAAGATTTTGGAACAACTACCTCCCGTATACGCCTATGTTCAGGAAGGCCAATACTTTTATCTGTCACTACTTCAATCATGAAATTTTCCAATCCTAAAATTTAAAATAATAAACATATYATCATAGTATATTAAAAAATAAAGTATAGGCTATATTTAAATTTTACCAGCGTCCACACATCGAGCCATATTACGGGCAACATTTGCTTTGACTAACTGAGGATAATCTCCTCTCGTAACTATACGTATGCATATAAATGGAGCCAGCAAAGGTGATCCTTTTAGAATGACTTTGTCTTGAAAAGCATTATACATTGTAAGACCGCAAAAATTCAATAGTACTTGTGGTAATGGTAAGAAGGTTAAACATCGTAGCAGATACAACATAAAGCACCAAATATAACCATAACGTTCCCATGGGTTAAAATTATATGTATTTTGAACATCTGCTGATAGTTTAACACCTCCCGACCAGATTTCAAATATTGATATTACCAACACCAATAAGGTACAATGAAGTGCATGTTTGGTCCAACTGCTTAACATAGCTGTGAAATGATAAAAACAATAATWACATTCAACATTTCAACTACATTTTATGTCTTCACTATGACTAATATAAAATAATATATGAGTATATTATGAGGTTGTAATACATTATAATATAATTAGCCTTGAATGAATAAGTCTAAAAAAAAACTATTATCATTATTATTAGGTATAGCTTACCTATACTTATCTATGAAAGACAGTATCTCGAAAACTAAGCTATCCGATGTAACCCAATTCTTCAGTAGTGAAGTAAATTCTACCGATATTTGAGTAGGTAGTTACTGTGTCGAGATTTTGTCAATCACAGCACAACTGCCAATTTAACTATTTTAGACATAATGAGCTACACAATATCGATTTAATTTAATACCTTTATAAAACTTCACTATACATTATAATATTAAATATTTCATAATCTTAAACACGGAATAGTATTATTATTATAATTACAAATTACCCACTATGACTTACAAAAAAAAAAAAATAAAAAAATAAGGTTTAATAATTATTACATTTATTTATTGTTAGTATCAACTACTATACAACTATGACAAATTTACAACTCCTATAAAAAAAATAGGTGTAAAGAAAATAATTGTRTTTGATTAGGCATTTGGTGAATTCCGCCCATGAACTAATACCAACGTAACAGTTACTGTCGTACGATAGATATCAGAATTATTCAGATTCAGGTTTCACCCGGTTAAAAATGCAAGCTGTGGTCGTCACCCTTATCACATGACTAACTTTAAATAACTTTATTCTTAATATAATATAGTTTATTTTAAAGGTGTAATTTATATGTCTTATAATTAATGGTATGGGCCTATGCCCTAATGGTAATAGTTAGTATAAATATATTGTAATGTCCAAATGGCAGTTAACAATTATGTGATTATATGATTAATCCATATAATTTTATATAGGATATTATTGACCCTARACCGTGGTTACTAAAGATGTTCTTAACCTTTAAATTATTTTTAATTTAATGTATAATCACGTTCTTCACAGCTGATAAGAAAATGAAATTAAAAATTAATTTGTCACTATTTTAATGATTTTATAATTCATTGCATTGGTATTGCTAGTATTAATTATAATTTGAATAACAGTTGCAGTTAATATAATAATATGGCTACACATTATKGTAGTGAGTATTCGAGTTATGTTATAGTTAATAAAAGAAGTCATTGATTTTTAGCAAATGTGTTTTTGTTTATAAAACAACTTTATGTTAACTGTTAAGTGTTCTTCACAACTTTTAGATAAACACCATATTTCTTATACAGTCTTGAGATTTCATAAGATATTTTTTTATTGTTTGTTATTTTGGAACTCATAATACCTTAGGAAAAAATTGTTATGACTGGATTTCGATTCTCGATGAAAAAGCTAATATAATAAATACACAAAATATAAATTATTAAGATTTCTAAGAATGTAAAYACTTACATATCGAATTAGTTATGCTTTTATTTTACTGATACTAAATCAAAATATTGCAGTTCTTAAATGCCTATAGAAATGTTACTCAACTGTTTTCTATTAATTTATTTTTTCAATTTAATTACATTTTATAAATTATCATTGCATATTAAATTCTTATAAACATTGCCATTACTATTATCAATTTATCATAACTAAAACTTAATACTACAACTATTATGTTCCAGACCTAAGAAATATATTTTTATGGTTTAGTATCATTACCTTTTATACAATTTTTTCAGAGTTATTTAATATGGTTTTAACAAGTTTTATATTCTATGTTTGCAACAAAATTATAATTGTATACGTTTAAAATCTTAATGAAACTTTTATTTTTATTCTATTTTATTTWAAAAAAATTTTTGTTTAGGAAAAATATTTGGTAAAAATCTTCCTCACAACTTAAAGACTAGAATTTGTCCATCATTTTTATCAACATTTCCTAAACCTCAACTTGATGTTCCGCAAGATGTACCTTCTGTATCTGATGGTAAGTTTTCTATATTACATCATGAATTAGTTTTAATTAATGTTTGAAATTTTTATTTCAGAATCCAAGTATAAATTGTCYAACCCAGATGCATTTGATGTAAAAAGTATGGTTAAAATTAAAAACCTATTTGAAGCTGGCGTGCATTTTGGTCATACTGAAGGAACATTAGATGATAGAATGAAACAATATTTGTATGGTAGCAGATTAGGACATTTAATTATAGATCTAAATCATACTAAAAGACTTCTACAACAAGCCCTTAATGTAACTGCACATATATCATACAGGTAAATAAARAAATTTAAAGCCTTGTTTATGTACCCAAAATTTGTATTAATCAATTAATAGGTATACAAGGTGTTCCACAGAAATATGACAAATGAAATAACTTTTGTTCTAATCAGTAATATTTAAAAATTTCTTTTAAATATAATTCATAGACATTTGCGCTACATTTTCAGAATACCTTCATTTTTTATTTTTTAATATTGAAAATGAAAAACTTAAAAATTGATAAAATAATTTTCGAAATATATTGTATATAGCCAATTTTTAAATCTGATTTTCAGAACAATTTATAYGGTAAAAACACTTATTGAAGTCAAATGGCTGATTTTTTACAATTTTTTTAAATATCAATATTTTTTTAAGTAAATTATGATCTAGTTTATAATATAAGAAACATTTTAATTTCAAAAAATGAGTTTATTGACCAAATAATATTACTATAATAAAATAGCAGATACAATAAAAAATTAATTAGATTTTAACATGAACCTATAAAATGTTTATATTAAATATTTTTTGAAATTAAAATGTTTCTAACATAAACTAGATTGTAATTTACTTAATGAAAATATTGATGTTTAAAATAATTCTAAAAAATCAGCCATTTGACTTAAATAAGTGTTTTTACCATATACGTTTTTCTGAAAATAAGATTTAAAAATTGGCTATATTGAATMTTACGAAAAAAWTTTTTTATTAATTTTTAAGTTTCGTATTTTCAGTATTAAAAAATAGAAAATGTATTCTGAAAATGAAGAGCAAGTGTCTATGAATTATATTTAAAATAAATTTAAAAAAAATATTGATTAGAACAAAAGTTATTTCATTTGTCAGATCTCCGTGGGACACTMTATATATGCTTTAAATACTCATCATTCCATTCATAACTACTCCTTTGTCTTTTTAAGTGAAGTAAGTCAAACCTAGCCAAAAAATAAACTGATGCTAACTTACAGTTTAGACTAAAACTTATAAATAACTTTTCTGATGAGCCCTCCACTATAACTCCACTATAACCCACTATAACTTATCAACTTCACAATTTCCAAGCAATTCACTTGTTCTATCACTCCTTWTATTTTACTCAAGCATGCTGTGAATCATAACTGATCATCCACTTGACCTTTTGACACTCCTAGCTAATAAATCTTTTAACAACTAGCTTCCTCAGTTTTAATCACGATCACTGCAACTTAAATAATCGTATTGAACATAGGCATGTGCAGACTTCAATTTCCAGTCGAGCCTAGCAACAATTAATGCCCCAATACTTGGACAGTGCCCCTATATATATATATTTTTTTTAAAACATTAATTTATACTATAATTGTAAATTAAAAACTGAGCAAATAAAATCAAGTTGTACGACGTACAATGTACGTGCACTCAACATTAATAAGCTAATTTCTAGACATATTTTTTTTTAAATAAAATATTATGAAGAAAACAATACCTAAAAATTAAAAAAAAAAACTTGGTTTAATGAACAAAAAATTGTACATACATAGTATTATATTACATATATTATAATGTGTTATTAGTTATTACATTCAATATTTAAAGAATTATAAATTAATTCTCCTATTTCCAATAATTTTTAATTCATCAATGACCATGTCAATATTAATACTATAGATGTTAGGTTTTGTTCAGTAAACATTAATAATAAACTATTAAGTCGGTCTTGATGTATAGTACTCCTTAACTTATTTTTTACTATTGTTAATTTAGAAAATACCCGTTCACAGGAACAACTTGTAACTGGTATTACACTGAATAATTTCAGTAGAGTAAAAAATCCATTAAATGATTTTATGTAATTATTTGCTTTCATATATTCTAGCCATTCATGAATTGATTTATTATTAGTGTTACTATTCGGTTTACCATCGGTAGCGGGTAAATATTTTAAAAGCTTTATCTCAGATACTAACATCTCTTCGGGGATATTAGCAAATGTTGATAGAATTGAAATCATTTTAGGTGTAAACTCTAGACGAATCATTCCTGCTACAGATTGAACTAATTGTACAGTTAAAGAGTTAACTAAGCTAACCAACCAGCTAACTCGCTAGTTATAGACCATAGTACATATTACTTTGCACAGTGTTTTTGCTAAATGAATAAATCAATAAAATCAATTTAATGGTACACAAATATTTGTAATTTTATTTTACTATTACGACAAATAAAATCGTCAAGTTGTAATGATCTCCTCGAACATTTTGTTATAATTAAATATTTATATATACCTACATACATTTGAAATTATGTTATTATATGCCCCTTAAAAGATTCCGGTCGAGCCAGGGCTCACCCGGCTCGCCCCGTGCGCACGCCTATGGTATTGAACATCTTCCATCTGTGTATAGTCTGTATTACTTCATATTTAGATCTGCCTGTTATTAATAAATTGATATTTATTTCTGCTTTTAGAGGTGGAGTAATTTTGTTTTTGTGTCAATCACCCCTTAATTGTTTGACCGTTGAAAATTGTGCAAAAGAATGTGGTGAATTTGCTCATACAAGATATTGGCGTGATGGTATGTTTACAAACTCTTCAAGGATTTTCAAATCTGAAACCAGATTGCCTGATCTATGCATAGTACTAAATACACTGAGCAGTACATCTAAGAACAATAGTGGACAGCATAGTGTTCTCTCAGATGCTGCAAAAATGTTAATACCAACTATTGCTATTGTCGATACAGATGCTAATCCTAACATTGTGACATACCCAGTACCAGGCAATGATGATACACCAAGTGCTATAAATCTTTATTGTGATTTATTTAAAAATGTTATTCTTAAGGCTAAAAAAGTTAGAAAAGAAATCTTAGACAAAAATAAAATATCAGTGTAACAAAAATGTATTTGTATTTAAATTTGTTGAAAAAAAATGATAAAATGAATAGATACAAATATAAGAAAATTTGTAAATATCTTCAACTTTGTAAGTTTTGAAATCTTATTCATTGATTGTCTCGCAATTTATTAATGGTTTTGTAGCCGTAGAGTTCATAAAATCTGTAAAATATAATTAATTTTTTAATCATTCAAATAAATTTAAATGAAAGATTATACTTTATACTTTACTTTTGCATATCAGAGCATTATTATTTTGGTTTACACACTATATTTTAAAAATATTATAATTGTATAACACAATTGATGATCTAGTGCAGAGGTATTCAAACTTTTTCAGCATGCGGCTCCTTTGGGTGTTCCCAATATTTTTACTGTTCCCAAATTATTATGAAACAACACATGGATACAATATGGGTGATAATAACAGTGACTTTAGTACTAGAAATAAAACTTCAAATGGTCGAATCGAAAGGTGTGTCATTTTCATTTCCATAATGATTGCAAATAATATTTATAATTATTATACAAGACTAGCACTGTCACGTGAACCCGGCAAATGTCCGATTTGCTGGGGCTTCGCGGTTTTCATTGTTTTTTGGGGCCTCGCTCTTTTAACCATATTTTTCGTAAGCTATAATAGTATAATCTAATATAATAATTTATTAAACAATATTTGTTATTATAATAATAATAATAATAATAATAATAATATTATGATATTTAATTGTAATAAAATCAATAATATTAGTAAATATTAGTCACTAAACAGTGTAAGCTAAAAATATTTAATAGTTTTTAGAAATTAATTCTTAAATATTTAATTCGCGTATAAAAATAAAAGTATAAAATTTAATTTGAATTGATTTGTAAACAATGTATTAAACGTGATAGTGGTCARTTTTAAAGATTTTGCCAGGGCCTCGCAAAACCTAATGACGGCGCTTAACAAGACCTAGGTAGGATGTTGGTGTTCGGTACTTTGACGCGGCTCCCTTGGCAAACTTTTGCGACTACCCTGGGAGCTGCAATACTCAGTTTGAATACCTCTGGTCTAGTTGAGCCTACAGATGTGGTAAGTGACATTTTTTGAGTACTCAATACTATTCTCCATTTCATTTAACATAATATAATGTACAAATGTTGTATCTGTATGTTTAATATTTTATTCAACCAACGGAACTGTTGTTTAAAGTTAGTACCATGTCACAGTGATTAGGTTAGGACGTTAGGTAAGGTACATTCAAATGCCTGTACTGAATAATTTGTTAAATAGGGTTATAATGTTGACGATTTAAAAGTATTATGGACTTTGGTAGATCCAATTATCAAATTGTCCTACTTGYAATGATGTTTAACAAAGTATACTTTTTTTTATAGAAAAAAACATAATTAATATCCGTTGGAAATTCAATTAAGATGATTTATTTGATGAATTTAATCATATTAAARTAAACATTTTCAAAATATGAGTTTATGAAARGCAAAAAAATTTTACATATCTAAAAGAAATGCCTACAAACCATATTATCAAGAATTATTGAATATGTTTTGGCAATACCCCAAACAAATGCAGCTGTTGAAAGAAAATTTTCTAACATAAATTTATTGTGGAGAGATGAAAAAAAATTGTTTTCTTATAGGCACTTTAAAAGCTATAATTTGTGTTTAAAACCATTTCAAAAATTACTCTTGTAATGATTTTTATAATTTTATCCTAAAACAAAATTAATTGTAAGATTCAATAAATTCTAGTGATGGGAACAATTGAGTGAAAATAATCAAAAARTTTGCTCGGTCTCAATTCTMGGAACCAACTGAAAAATTATTTGCTACTTATTTTTGTAGTAGTTACTTAAATTGTAATGAGTAAAATTAATGAAATAAGTAGGTAATAACTACTAATAGTAATATGGTACTATAGTATTTTTATTTTACTAATCTAGTTATCTWTCAACAGTTAACACTATTAACAGTCTTAATATTTGAATTCATAAAAACACGAAAATAATAAAAAAATATTTTGTTTATATATTATAATTTAAAGTGATAAACGTAGTGTTATTTAAATTTTCAATTAAAAATATTACTTTATTAATAAGTTGATTATTTATTAGTTAATAATATTATCTTGATTATTGTAATTTAAGTGAATACATCAGTTATGAATTTAATTCAATTTATGATGGTTATGTAATACATTTCATTCTATATAATATTTTGATTAATTTAATCGAATGAATAATTTGATTATTCCTATCACTAATAAATTCATCAAAAAAATATGACTTTAGTAATAAGATAAGCAAAATGTAAATAAATGTAAAATTTACAAATGTATCTTTATAAATGATTCATGTATTTAAGCATTAAAACATTGATTTTATACTATACAGATAAGCCATTMTATTGTTAATAGTGGCAGCGGCTAATTGCATTCAGTGGGAGACGGAGAGGCCAAGCATTCTAAGGCATTAGCTGCAATGCGCACCGTCACCAGTTTGAACCTCGGTCACGGGCAGCACCTCTCCTTGGGCAGTCAAGGTGTCTGGGCCGTCTGGGGAGAGGCAGCCATCTCCTACACAGGTATTGTAGAAAACTAGGGGTGCCCAAATAGGAATTCTATCAAATATGCCTTCAGGCTTACTCCTGGACATAGCGTCATATTATGCAAAAAAAATCTTGTTTTATTATGTATATATATTATTTATGGTCACCCTAGACCATCACAATGATTGCTTGCAGTCACATGGCCATATTTCCTTTAGGGCCACGTTTTGATTTTGATGTCATGCATTTTTAATAAATAAATGTTTTATTTTATAGCAATATTCGATAACTTTTTAAAATTTATTTTAGGTAATTAGGCAATGCAAAATTTTCTCATTTAAGCTATCATTAAAAAGTAAACATTATTATTCCAACACCAAGGATATTATTCCATTTAAATAAATGTTTCTACGACAGCAAGCGGCTATATAGTGTTTAGAATTAAATTAACTTTTACACAATCTATTAATGAATTATATAAAACATCCCAATAAAACATTGCTAACATTTTATATGAATAAAGTAAAAAAAAAATAATCTATATCCTTACTTGTATGCTATCACAGGGTAATATATTGTAAAATATACGATTAGAATAAATGGAAACTTTGCCATCCATGATTCTTTTAGTTTATTTGCTATTGCCACACATGACAAATGTGCACATCTCTCAGTACTCATTCTATTGTCTGTTGGCGAATGAGTCAATCCATATTTCTGTAAATTATTTGATAATACTAAAGACAAAGCACAAACTTAAAATTTTAAATATCTTACTTCTCCTGGTCGACCTGTGAAGCTTTCTTTGAGAAAATTGCTAAAAACGGGGCCCGGACATAGAAGAGTAACATGAATATTAGAATGCAATTTTTCTAAACGTAAAGCTCCAAAATAGCCCTTTTAACAAACATTTATATTATATTAGTTATATAATTATAAATATAATACAATTAACAAAGTCAATGGCAAAAAATATTTAAAAAATAATTTAGAGTGATACCAATATTTTCCTAAGTAAAGCAGAATACCTACCCTAACCTGCAACACTTTTTGGTTGGATATTATGTATTATGTTAATAAATGTTTTATCTAAAAGTGTCTAATGTCCACACAAGATAAACACACTTAAAATCAGCCTAGGTAGTTGAAAGTGTGTATGTATGTTTCTCAGATAAATAAGATYTTTTTTTTTTKTATTCAGTTATTAGATTTTAAATGAAAATGAAAATAATTCAAGTTATTCAGAATTCAAAATAAATAAAATTTGTTAAGATACTTTAAAGGAGAATTTTAATTTTTTAATATTTTTCAAGGCTAGGTCTATTTGTTTATAATAAACTACATATTGAGAGCTAAAGACCATTCTTCAGTTTTTAATAAAAAATAATAATAAAGGTACTTTTCTATTTTCTAATAAAATGATGGTATAATATATTAATATCTAACATAATACAATTTAATAGTCCTTTACCTTACTCTTAAGTCATAAAGCTAACTGGGCTGAAAATAAATAGTAAATAAAGAATAAAATACATTTTTTAAGTGTTATTGATTTCTAATTTTCAAAATAATTATTATAATTTAAATAATTGCTGGTTTATTTAAAATTAATTTCTTTTTTTTTTTAAAGATTTTGAGTCAACAATAATAAATTATTATCTAAATGATGTATGTCTTCATTATAAATTATTTTATGGTTATAACTACCATAAAATGTATTACCWAATGATTAGATTCAAATATACAGCTGTCACCACTGAAAAATATTGGTTTATAAATAGTTATTTACTTACATGAAGTGCGTGTTTAGTTGCATCATAGGTTGCAGAAAATGGAGCTGGTATAATTCCTGCAATACTAGAAGTGGCCACTAATTGACCACGTCCGACTTGATTAAAATATTTTACAGCAATTCTTGATAGATTTATTACAGGAAAAACATTTAAATCAAATAATTCTTGATCGACTCCAAGTTCAATATCTTCCCACATGGCTCGTTGTGAACGACCCGCRTTGTTTACAAGGATATCAAGCTATACAAATAATTAAGGTTATTGTATTATTGTATTATTATAATATCATAATACTACCAGAACATGCATTATAAAATGAAAAAAAATATTACGTAACCTACATAAAACAATTATTTGTTTCATAGACCTTCTTAATGTTAATAATTATAAAATCATTGCACTACATTTTAGGTCAAACAACTTAAAAACTAAACATAAATTCAAAATTATAGTATCAGCTATACATTTTTGAAGATGTATTCAAACGTTAAATAATTAATGTATAATTTATATTATTCTTACTTTGCCGAAATGACTGATGACATTATCAAACAATGAATTGTGTTTAGATATATTGGTGACATCCATTGGTAATACAAGTATATCATTAGCAGTTAGCTTTCCTTCACTGAGTTCTATTATAGATTTTACAAAAAAAAAATTAAAATATAATCCAATTTATAACAAATCAAATATTGCAAAAATTACCAATACAACGGTTTTTAACTTGATATAATTTATCTTTACTTCTAGCAGATAAAATAAGTTTAGCACCATGCTTAGAAAGGTTTAATGCTATGTGTTCACCAATTCCACTAGAAGCACCAGTAATCCAAACTACTTTGTCTTTAAATGAATCTATAGTAAATTAAAAAAAACAGATGTTGAAATAATAAAATATATTTGATTTACAATTTGTACTAAACCAATATCTATTTAAACATTTTAAACATATTGTAATGTATATATTATACATTAAAAAAATTCAATTAATTGTGAATAATAATATTATATTTATAACAGAAAATGGCCAAATGGATTCTGTAAAGTAATCTAAACTCTGAAGTGATGGTGGTTATATTATTTTGTTCAAAGCATCATTGAGATTTATATTTAGAACCCACCCTTCCATCTTATACCTATGAACCTTAGAATGCATTTTATTTAGGTGAAACACGATATAATACAACTCTAAAAGGGGGTGTCAACCCTAAAACTAAAAATATGGATACTGCACCACTATTTTAATATAAATAGATATTATATATATAATATTTTTAAACACTGATATTAACTAAAATATGAACCTAGATAGGTAAATGAATACATATTTACACCAAATACAAAAAATATATTATCATACAACTCTTAAGTATAACATTATAAATAACAAATAAAAAATAAAATGTAATATTATTATGCAGACCGAATTGAAMAAACAGTTAATCACAATTAGGTATTCAAATAAATCATATCAGGATAGTTTTAAAATTAGTTATTTTAACTAAACCATTTTATTTGTACCTAGATGATTATTAAATAAAAATGTCTTTGAATATAATATTCTACTTCACATGTAGGTACCAACCAAAATTTCTTTTGAACTTGTCATAAAACCAGAGTTCCAAGTCGGTGTCACTGGTAAAGAACAACACGAAATACACTAGGAACTTTAACACCACAATGAGTCCAATGAAACTCAAAAACCCCATGACGACACGAGACGACTGCAACAGGTCTGAATTCCAATCGAGAATGATATTATGATAATGATTGGAGAATAAATAACTACATCAACGGTAGGCAAGTACTTTACTACCTTCTACACGTCAACGACTGTAGGATCACAATATTAAATTAGGTATTTTAAATCGTTATCGACAAAATATTGTTAAAGAGAACGAAAGTAAAAATATATAACTCGTACCTAAGTGGTTACACTAAATATGATATTTTAGTTAAATACTATCGGATATAGAGGCATAAGTGTTCGATAACATTAATTGGTAAAATAATTATATACATTATGATTCATTGTGTAGTGGCTCATATTATTTTTTTTAATTTAACGTAGTTAAAAATTGCTAATTAATTACATTAATTATTGATAAATTAATAATTATTATTAAGACATTAAGTAATAAGTAGTAATATTAATAGTAGGTGCCAGGACAATAAGCAGAAAACGTAACTGTGATAGACGGGTGACGACCGTGCGACCGTCCACGACTGTCCACGACTGACAAAGTGACCAACCGAATAAATAAATAATTATTAACGAATAATGAATTTAAGAATGCTGGCACGCTCCGTGTGACCGCACCTCCTTTTTGACCAAAGTACGTATASATTGTGAATAGTGATAGACCTTATTACCTAGTGAAGTAGTGTAGTACAATTATTATTTATTAAATAAGGGAACAGTGAGTGATAATACCGTAGACCGTAGTGGTGATGGAAATTGGAAATACCGGCACGCCGCATGTSAGCGGTTCAGTATTTGCTCCAACTACCCAGTGGTCATTAATCACTAGCCCAGTGGTTTTCAAACTGGGTGCCACGATGTTTTGAAAGTTTTGGTTTTCTTTGTATGATACCAATTGCTTTGCGCTGTGAATAAAATATGAAAGTATACCAATTCGATTATTTGTTTTGAAAACGATCGAGTAGTTGGAAATAAAGATGAATAAATATTTCCATATAGTATTGATTATTGATATTAAACATAACGACTGGGTTCGAGATCTTTTCAATGTATCTATTGGAGACCTGACTGATTTAAAATTACACGCTATGCTCATTTAGTAAAAAACAATGAAAACTAATGTCATATTATACTAAACATAAAAACATTTTACTAAAATATTAAAATTCATATGGATAAACTTTTGTCAAAAAAAAAAAATTACGCATCCGAAAGCAACTTGGAAATTAAATATTTATTAATGAAATTCCTAATAAAAATGCTGATACGTCTAAAGAAATCAGTTCAATTCAAAATTAATAAATAATCAAATGTTAAATGACACACACGAACCGCATAAGATCTCAAATATTTTCAACACTTTTTTCATTGATATGAAAGCTATAAACCTATTTATTGATATATAAACCATTATTAATATTGATTGATTTCTTTAATCAGAACAGCAACGGGACCACAGAAGGAGTTGAATGTAATTCTGATTTTCTGAATTGGAAATCACAAGGTGAAGAGGTCTTTAGATACTCTATTCACCTAAGCAACGATGGCCTGATAAAGTGATAAAGTCTGAAATGGTCTAACTACGAAAAGAAAACTATAAAAAGGTAGCATTATTTAGACAGAAAGAGAAGGAAGCATGTGATGCAGCAATGGGCCTATAAGCTGCATCAGAAGCTGCAAGAAAATTAATTTTAAATAAACGGCGTTTGGATTGGTAATTATATAATAGTACCAAGTCCAGTTTTACAATGGCATTAGTGGTAGAATGATGGCAAATAACTCGAAAATTATATGAAGTCTGAACTTAGTCTTTATTATTAGAAGTAAAAAGTCTAAACCAACGAATTTTTTTTATACTTAAGTGAAGAATTATTTTTTAACTTTGGTATAGCTAAGCAAAATTTAAACAAGATTTCACATACCTACGTAATATAAGTAGTTTAAGTAGTTATTTCTGTAACAAATACTATCTAAAAACTATATAAACACAGTTTTTTTTTATAGTTATTTTAAGTTAAAATTTGTATGAAATTACATATTAAATTACCAAGAATAATAATTTTAGTAATATATTATTGTATAGACATACATTTAATTTGAATTTCCGGTGGACATTTTTTTTGTGATAAAGATTGACAAATTTTTAAGGAATCTTGTATTAAATTTTCAAATCTTAGATTTAAATAGAAATTTTTTTATGAATTTCTAGCTTAAAACAATTTG